ATCCAAATATTAATCATAATCATATAAACATATGTAGGCTGTTTTTTTTTTTCAAGCTCTGATGCTCCATAAAAAAAAACAAGTGTAAATAAAATGAATTTATTACCAAAAGTTAGGTATAAACATGGTTACTTTTTGACATAATCACCGTGAAGATTGAGACATTTGTCATATCTGTGGACGAGCTTTTCCATTCCCTTGTCATAGAATATTGCCACCAATGACTTGAGATAGTCTTTACCATTGTTTTGAAGATCGTCATTAATCTCAAACCTCTGCCCTCCTAGCCACTTTTCCTGTTCAGGAAAGAGGTGTAAGTTGCTCAGCAATAAATTGGGGCTATAAGCTGGGTGTTTAAAGGCGGTGAAGACTTCTACCCAGCTTAAAACTTTTTAATGTGCGAAGACTTTCACCTCTTTTCTGAACTGAAAATGTGGCTAGCAGTACAGAGGATTGAGACTAATGACAATCTTCAAAACTACATTGTTAAGGCCATCTCGATTCACTGGTGGCAAAATTCTATGACAAGGGGATGGAAAAGCTTGTCCACAGATATGACAAATTCCTCAATCTTCATGACGATTATGTCGAAAAGTAACCATGTTTGTACCTAACTTTTAGTAATAAATTCATTTTGTTATTTACACTTGCCTTTGTTTTACGGACCATCAGAGCTTGAAAATAAACAACCCTCATATTATAGTGATCAAAAGAGCAATGCTCTTTTGGTGATCTACTTGTATGATTTAAACCATGTAATTTATAATTTCCTTATATCGTATTATGGTTATAAGTCAGTGGAATATCCAAGAGAAAGTCCTTAGGATGTGAATCATTTTAATGCATCTTTTTCATAAAACTGTTTGGTTGTTTGTTTAGTTATGGCAATGCAACACTTGGGCGATCTGTCTAGGGGAATGCCTTCCAGGAAGTCTTTTTAAGGGAAACTGGCTCTATTTAGACATTACAGATGAGGAGAAAACCCAAAAAACTCCACATGGTCAGACCATCCAAGTGAGGCATGAACCCATGACCAAACTCCCAGTGTTCTGGGAATGAAGGTCGCTTGGCCACTGGTGGGCCTCATAAAATTGTTAATCAACTGGTCTGACTGATAGGACTTTGAAGCATGGATCCTTATCATGACTCTGGCTCCAGCTGCATCGAGCATTTAATTTTAAGTATAACTGTTCAATGTAGAAAATTTTATTCAAACTATTTTTAATGTAATTTGTTTCTACTGCACTACACAAATTTTATATGAACAATAGAAATAGATCTTTTGATCACATATAACAATATGTAATTTTATTGATAGCATTACTCTCAGATATATCAAACTATAATTAAGGGAAAAGAAATCATAGAGAAAAAATGATATTTCAATAAATAATTAATTAACTAAAACATTTTCCCAACTGAAGCACAGTGACAGTTTGCAAACTCGTGTTAGATTATCAAGGAGTGCTAAATTAAAGTGACATCATTCTGCATAAGCAGCGAATTCTTGCTATTGTTCTAAAACTTCCTTAACTTATGTAATAAAACAATATGCAAGTTTTTTCATGCAACATAAAATATGTTGACCACATATCTTAACCTACACATGTTAATTTTTCAAGATTGGACAGAAAGATTGAAAAAAAAAAAAATTACTATTCAAAGAAATATTTGGTAAGAGCTTTTCCATATTTTGAATATCGAGTAGCATGTGCTCATTTGTTGAGATTTTTACAATGCAAAATTTTCCCATTGGCTTAAAATGGAATGATCTTTGAACGCCAATATTTCCTGTTCTAGGTCAAATTTTAAAATTTGGCCTCTATGACAATGCATTCTTTTATTATTTCTATTAATTCATAAAATTGATAAAAATTAGGAAAGGACAAGGTCAGTTCGGCATACAGGGAAAGTTTGTCAATTAAATTTTCTTTGAAACAAAATAAAATGAGACTCTCTTTAGAGACTAGATAGTTGACTTTTAATGACAGCTTGTTGAGTGTGGTGTCTGTGTTGTTCTCCGACAAGCGTAGTTGAAATATCTAATAAGTTGTCTGTTTCATTCAATTTCTTATAATATTTTGCTTTCATTTATATAAAATTGACATGTTTTGTTATAATTCCATAATAACAAAAGTTATTTTTCCTGTTAGAAGGATAAAACATTAACTAATTCACGTGGCCAGATCATGGCTTAATACCCTATTCTCAGGGTTCCATTTAATGTTTCTAAATCATGACTATTCGGCATCTTCGGCAGTGTTGCCGATCTTGTTACTGATCATGTTTTACTATGGTTTGATTTGGTCGCAAACAATAAACAACAAGCAGAAGAAATAACTGGATCCCCACACAAAGCTACACTAGATGCCAAGGCTAAAGTTAAAAAGTCAGGAATTTGAAGAAGGGCAATGGATTTGGAGAAATTGGATTTGAAGTTCACTAAAAGAAAGGGGCAGAAAGTCTTAAAGAACCAGAAAATGATGATGAAAATACTTATTGCATATATTGCAATAAACAATATTCAGGAAAAGTGGATTATGTGCTGCAAGTGTGAACTGTGGGCTCATGTGGACTGTACAGAAAATGAGTTGGTTCAATTTATTTGTAATATGTGTAGGGCATGAACAATTTTCTATTAAGCATATTTCATTACTACTGTTTGTTCGAGTTCACTAATTCATTTATATTGCTTTTAACTTGCAGTAGGATGTTTTCAATTATTATCTGTTTGATTTTTTTGTAATTAATTTTTGTTTACATTTTCTTTACTTATATATGTCTTTTAACTCGAATTTCATTGTTATAATATTAAATAAATTTTTGGACTTGCATTTCTTTGATTTAATAGTGAATTCCAATTTATACATTGTAAATAATGCAAATTTATATACCTGTTTATCTTGCCCCATTACTGTTGCTGAGTTGGCAACTGCTATCTTTTTATAAAGTTATTATTTTTATGATTATTTCTATTTCCAAACTGATTTTAACCAGTTCTATAGTAAGGTAACATTCTAGTAGACAATAAACAAAGCTTTTCTTTCAGTTTACAGCAATATTTGTTACACTAAATTAAAATTATTCTTATTGTGCTGAAGTTGCCCCGTCCTCCCCTATATACCTTATAATATAATCAAGATGGGTTGATAATGATAATTATAATAATAATATGCACAGAGCCCAAACGGTTAGGAGTTGAAAGTTGAAATTTGGTATACAATTAGGGTACATGATGAGAACATACACTAAGAAAGAATTTTTTAAAATATGGCCCTGCGGAGAGAGGGACAGGATTAAGGCTTACCGTAAAGAACTCGGCTTCTCTTATACTATTTTAGATGAGGCTTTTTGCATTTTTTTCATTGCATTTTAATGCCATGAGAATGCAGATTTAAGAAGGGATTTTTTGAAATTTCCACTGCGGGGGAGAGAGAGACGGTTAAGGATTACCCCGAAGAACTTGGTTTCTACTGTACTATTTTAATTGTCTTTATTGCATTTATGCGGAAAATCAAACATATTTTTAGACCCTTCTAAAAATTCTCAATGATATTTAGTGTTCCATCGTATATAAAGTTGACAAGAGAAGAGCATGCACATAAGTTCACTTTATTCAAACTCTTCACCTTAATGTTTGATTTTATGTTTCAATTTATATTTATGAATGATTCAGGAAGATCCAGCTTATTTTTCAAATGTAGTAAACCTGAAAAAGAACCCAGAAGGGGTTACAAAAACATTTGTTATTCATCACTTAGTGGTACTATGCACCGGTTAGTGGTTGCTGTGAATTTTAATTTTCGTTAATCCAGTGTGATAAGCAGATATCTAAAAATTTTCTACTTAGTGTCAGAAGAGGGGGAACCTAATTCTTGCACTTGGTGAAAATGGGTAAGATTGGCTATAATCTGATAATCTTAATCTCTGCTATTGTTACTTTTTGTCCAAGCAATGCCGAGCTCATCTGCTAGTAATATATAAATATCTGTAAAAAATCTATGCCATGGAGCTCACTTTTGTTTTCCTGTAAAATATCTAGTTCTTTTTGTAGTTAAAATGTCAAAGAATTCTGAAGATTAAATTGCTAACGTTTTTTTATATTTAGTAGTTCAACGATTCTCACTGTTTTGATGTTTTTACTCATATACAATATACTTATAACAACATATTGCTACAAAAATACAAAGATTATTTATGTAGTAAACTGTAATTATTCATTGTTAATATTGTGAATTTATCAGTTTCTTTATATATTAATCATTAATTATTTGATTTAACTATATACTTTCTATAATTTGTTTTTATTCTAATTCAAATTATATCTATTTTGAAAAAGATTAGAATAAAAACATATTATAGTAAAAATTCATGCAATAGTAAAATGAGAAAAATACTCAAGAATCTAAAATAGAATTTAAGATTAAAGAGAAACAAAAATTACAGGATAAATATATCAGCAATGATAAGATTGCAATAAGTAAGAACTTAAATGAATTATTTTAATGATTTTATCTATCAAACAATTTCAAACATAGCATGTTATAGCAAATGTAACATAAAATTAAAGTTCACTGTCAGGAGACAACAGTTATTAACTAAAAATTTCAACTATTAAATCCAAAGTTTTGAAAATTCTAATTTAAGAGGTGTCATCATTTTTCTGTTTGCCTTTTTAAACGTATGTGTGATGTGGGCATACATATCTGTTCATTAGTGGTCAGAAGTTTTGGATTATATATGGGTAGATTTTACTTACTTTTACTTCTTGTTCAATTGTGATATCTTCATATTTTTCACATTCACTTTTAATGTTTCTGACAATCTCAAGTTCTTCCTTGACATCATCGTCATAATCCCATATGGGTTCTGTTTTGACAATGGAGTAATTTATATCATTCTCCATCCAATCCAGTTCATTTTTAATGCTGATAAGGCTCTCATCTTCAAAATGAAATGTAAAAAAAGTTTAATTTTTTAAATAATGTTTTAGAAAATAATATCATTCTCCATCCAATCCAGTTCATTTTTAATGCTGATAAGGCTCTCATCTTCAAAATGAAATGTAAAAAAAGTTCAATTTTTTAAATAATGTTTTGCTTTTTATAGTTATTTAGGGCTCATATCCATTGATGTTAAATCAATGGATTCACAAGAGAAATTAATATCCAAAAGCCAACAAATATAGTGTATTAAAGATAAAAACTTGTGTACACTAAAGCCCTTTAAAATGAATGACACACTGTTTCTGATTCTTTACTCCTATTTATTTCATTGTTTTCTCACATGAAAAAAAA